TCGGTTAAATGCTTCTCCGATAATCAATCAAAATATAAATATGCTGTTCCAAAAATGTTCCTAAAATCAATGAAATCGTAAGTTCTTAAAGTTTAAAAATGTCTATGGAGTAAATGTAAGTTTCCTATCACTGGTTAGATTGAGATTTAAATTGGTATATATTTTTATATCGCTGAGTCGATTGTGATTTAAATTGGTATATATTTTTTTAATATTTATGTTTTTAATAAATATCCCAAAATTATAAAAAATACTTTTAAGGCAAGAATCTACCATCTTTTGTAGTTTAGAAGGCTAATGATCTATGATCGATTTAGTGCGTAGAAAGTTTTAAACGAGTTTTAGCTTTTTAAAAATAAACTGCGGACGGTCGTTTATTTTAGTAAGTCGGTGAAAAATATTTCACCCACTTACTTACCAGGTTCTACGCAAAACGAGTGTTATTAAAAATCATACCTAACTCTGACCCTATACCATAAAGATTATTTAATTATTGATAACAATACCCTAATTATCAAAAGAATCAGGGTCAGTCTTCGGTATGGTTTTCAATAACACTCCTTTTGCTTAAGACTTGTTTTTTGGAGAATTACTGATAAGAGGTAAAATACACTTCGAGGTAAAATACAATTCGCCAAAGTTCGGACAAGAAGACTGTTTAATAAAATACGGCCAAACTCTCGTTAAACCTGATCCGCAACGTATTCAAATAAAATAAATTTTAATGTTTATTTTTATGTAAACGCCTAATATTTTTTAAACTTCGTAAGAATATTTTGCTAAAACGCAGTATTTTAAAACTATCATCAATCAAGGTCATAAGCAAAACTTGAAAAAAATAACCATGCCATATATATACCTCTTTCTGCTAATAAAATGGCATTAAACAAACAAGTTAAAACCTAAATTACAAACGAAAAAACTATGTGCCAAATGCGTTTACATTCTGGGCGATCGAACTTGGATTTGCTCGAATATGACAATTCTAAAGAAGTCAAAACACTTTTTAGTATTATTCTTTAAAATGGTTTCATTCCAACTATAAATAAACCAAAAAGAATAACAAAAAATAGTGCCACTTCTATTAATCAAATTTCAATAAATAACTTTAAAAACATAAAAGTTATGTGGAACATTTATAACTGACATATCTGACCAGTTTCTAGTCTTTATAATCTCACAAAAGTTGATAAATCAACTTTTTGAAAAAATAAAAACCAAAACAAAGTCTAAATATAATTTTCTTCACACATTTCAATCCCACTACAATAAATCATTTTCAACAACAAATAAATTTATTATAACAAAAACTCTACAAAATCCCTGGATTACACCGCGAGTCATCTTTTGAAAAAAAAACAAAAACGGTTTATTAAGTTAGAAAACTATAGTATTGAATATCCTATATATTGCGTGATTTACAAGTCATTTATCAATTAGTAAGGAATAAATCTCTGACTGTGATGGTAAAACAACTTATATGAATTGAGAGAAGGAAAGAAAAAAAAAAAAGAAAATAAAACATTTTAATTATACCAATAATAAAATCAACTAAAAATAAATATTTTAAAACAAGAAAAGAAAAAGAAACTTCTGAAAGAAAATAAGTAAAGAAGTATAGAAAATAGAAGTTAAGAAAAAAAGTTAATGAATAAAATAAATAAAAAGAATGAAAAAAAAAAGGAAAAAAAAACTTATACATCGAAAATTTATACATCGAAAAAAGATCGGAAAATGAAGATTTTTTTATTTTTTCATATATTTCTTTTGTTTTGTTTCATATATTTCTTTAGTTTTCTTTCATATATTTTTAGGATTCTTTATTTACGATTTCATTTTTTATTTAAGCAGTCTTGTAGTAATGATTTTCCTTTAGTTTTTTAGCGTATAAAAATTTAGTTATTATTTTTTGTCAGTCATTTATTGTTTTTATTTTTAGTTATTTAATTATTTTTAAATAGTGATATCTAATTATGGTGTTATATATTTTTTGTTTTTATTTTCATTTTATTATAAATGTTTTATTCTACCGTGTATTATTATTACTTTTTTTTTTTTTTTTCTTTCTTTCTTTATTATTTTTAATTTATGTTGTTCTTTTCTTATAGTTGTTGATGTTGTTTTTTGTTTTTATTGCCAAAAGAACTTAACGTATTTTTTTGTTTTGCTTGTAATGTTTGTTGTAACTTTTGTTTTGCTTTGATTTTCTCACTGTTTTTTTTTTGTTTTTTTTTTGCATTTACTTTGTCATATTATTTGCAATATATTTCGGATATTTTATTATAAGAAAAATATATTTACTAAATCTTTATATTTTTTTTAGCAGTGGTTGTTTTTATTTCATCGTTAGTTGTTACGTTTTTATTTAAAGTTACAGTTACAAACAGTTTATTACTGTTTGTAACTGTAACTTTGTATGTAAAAACGATTGTTGTATGGAAAATTTTACTGATTTATTTAAATTTTTTTAATTACTATATTACTATTACTATTGCTAAAA